AAGCTGGAATGATATAATGTCTTCATTAGCTGCACCTGGGAGCAAGTCTCAATCGCCAAAGCTTCTAAAAATAACGAAAGTGAGTGCAAGACTTAGGGGAATTTTTATCTCAGCTGCAAAACCAGGAGTCGGTATGATGGGCTCACGGGGACCAAATACATTCTCTCACCTTAAACAACAACCAAATAACCAGACAGATGTATGAGGGAAGGGATTCTAGAAACCGGGCAACCGGCACTGCAAGACATGATCTTAGGGACCAGGGAAGCAAAGGAGATGAGCCAGGAAATTGCCCGGCTTACTGCTTGGGCAGAGTTTTCGTGTCCCAGCTGGGCCAGTGGGGGAGGGCCCAGCTGGAGCAGAGAAGTACCCGAGTTGAAAAGACAGGGCTGATACCTGGAGGAAGCCAAGGCAGCTAGAACTTCTGAAGCAGAAGATGGCAGGGAAGAGAGCTTCACAGGGACAGACAGAACCATGAACGCTGCAAAAGGTCCCCCCTAGTCTTCCCCTCAATCCACCTGCGCCCACGTGTTACGGGAAAGTCCCCAAGCAAGGGGGACAGCCACCGGAGAGGAGCAGGCAGAGCAGTCCCCAGAGCTCACACAAGGCAGGAAACGGCTGGTGTTGCCACCAGCAGGCAAGGCCGGGAAACAATCACGTAACGCATCAGGAACGGGTCGGAAGAGTCAGTACTGGGGAAAAAGTGAGCTTCAGCCTAAACGCTGTTCTGGTTCCACCCAGGAGAGCCTAAAAGCAAACCTCAGAAAAATCAAACTATTCCAAATGACATAAATGCATCCCAGAGTAAAGCTCAAGAAAGTTTTTAGAAACCAAACTATCCAGCACCCCATAAAGAAAAATTCACAGTGTTTGTCATCCCCTCAAAATTGTCGAGCGTGCGAAGGAGACAGACAGGATGTAACCGTCCGCAACGAGGAGAAAACCCCACAGAAACAGACATGGAGGTGATACAGAGACAGGATGAGCCGACGGAGAGCCTCAGAACAGCCGACAGTAACTGTTTCCCGTAGTTCCAGAAAGTAACGGGAGCACAAGCCTGGTGAGGAGAGACACGGTAAAACCACACGCAACAAAGCCAGCAGTGGTCCTCGTCTCCTCATTCTCGGAAAGTCAGCAAGGTCATTAGTTACTAATTTCCTTTAAAGAAAAAGTAGGGGCATCCTTATTTTTTAGAATACTGTGTGGGTACGTGAAGCCCTGGTATCCAAAAACAATAACTTTGTGTGTTTCATCTCAGCAGATTTGGGGCTGCAGCAGGCCCAAGGTAAGAACTGGCAACCTCAGAACGGCTCACGCAAAGCAAGTCAGTGGCTGGAGGTTCTGGAACATCTCACAAAATGCCAACTATTATTTTTTTTTCCTTTTCCTTCTTCTTCTTCTTTTTTTTTTTTTTTAATTTCTTCTTTCCTATTTTGATCCTGTTGTTGCAAAAGGTATGAGTTTTAATAATTAATACACATTGTGAACTCAAAGTATTACACAGACGGTCTTGATATAAAATTGGTAGGATTTTTACGACCCTAATTTTTTTTTTTACATTATTCTATTGTGGCAAAAAGTACATACATGCCATACAGTTTGACATTTAGCCGTTTTTAGGTGTATAGTTTAGTGACATTAATTGTATTCTCTGCACTGTGGATGTAATTCTCCAAACATCACCCTAAACAGAAACTTTGAAACATTAATTAATTAGTAACTCCCAACACCTCACATTCCCCCACTCCCACGACAGGTCCTGTAACTCCTATTCTACTTCCTGACTCTAGGAATTCGCATATTCTAGGCTCCTTATCTGAATGGAACCATACAATACTTGTCTTTCCATGACTAGCTTCTCTCACTTAGTAAAATGTTTTCAAGGTTCATCTATGTTGTAGCGTGTACGAGAATGCATCCCTTTTTCATGACCAAGTAATGTTCCACTGTCCACACATGCCACTTTATCTGTTCATCTACTGATGGAGGCGGGTGGTTTCTACCTTTGGTTACTGTACATAATGTTGCACTGAAAATGGCCATGGAGATATCTCTCTGAGTAACCATTTTCAATTTGATTGGGTATATACCAAAAAGTGGAACTGGTGGGACACATGATAATTACATATTTAGTTTTCTGAGAAACTGCCAAGCTCTTTTCTGTAGTACGGCACCATTTTCCATTCTCACCATCATGCATGAGGGTTCTAATTTCTCTATATTCCTGACATTTAGTCCTCCCCCATTTTTTTTTTTTATTTTAACCATCCTAGTAGATGTGAAGGTGTATCTCATTATGTTTTGATTTGCATTTTCCTAATGACTGTAGTGAGGAGACTCTTTCATGTGCTTACTGGCCATTTGTATGCCTTTTTTAGAAATGTCTATTCAAGTCCTGTGCGCATTTTTGAATATTAAAAACACTTAATGATTTTATGATTTGTAAATATTTTTTTCCCATTCTATAGGGATTTTTTTTTCACTTTCTTAATAATGCTCTTTGTTGCTAATGCTTCGGGGGCCATATATTAGAATTCACAGCCAAATTCAAAATCAGGAAATTGACCCACATTTCCTTCTATGAGTTTCATGATTTTAGTTCCTACACTCAGGCCACTGATTTTTCTTGAGTTATTCTGTATCAACGATGTGACACAGGGGTCCAACTTCACCCTTCTGTATAAGGAAATCCAGGTGTCCCAGCACCATCCCTTGAAGAGAGAATTCTTTTCCAGCTGCATGGACTTAACACTCATATCAGAAATCTGTTGGCCATAGATGTGTGGTTCCTTTTTGGATTCTCAATACTATTCCGGGGCGCCTGGGTGGCTCAGTGGGTTAAGCCTCTGCCTTCGGCTCAGGTCATGATCTCAGGTCCTGGGATCGAGCCCCACATCAGGCTCTCTGCTCAGCGGGGAGCCTGCTTCCCCCTCTCTCTCTGCCTGCCTCTCTGCCTACTGGTGATCTCTCTCTCTGTGTCAAGTAAATAAATAAAATCTTAAAAAAAAATAAAATACTCAATACTATTCCATTCATCTGTATACCTATTCTGATGCCAGTATCCTACTGTTTCGATTACTATAGCTTTGCTCTAAGTTTTGAAACTGTTTAAGTGTGAATTTCCTGACTTTCTTCTTCTTTTCCAAGACTGTTCTGACTACCAGTGGTCTCACGCCATTCCACAGAAATCTGAGTATCCGTTTCTTCATTTTTGCAAAAAAGGATGTTGGAATTTTCAGAGGAATTGCCCTAAGTTTGTACATTGCTTTGGGTAGAATCTCAATACTGAGTCTTTGTATCCATGAACACAAAATATCTTTTGCCAATTTCTTTTGCTCTAATAGAAAGTGAATTCAGGGCAACCAATCAAGAGATCTCGGTGACTGTACAATACTGTACTCTTGTCCCCTGATGTAACGTGGCTTTCCTTTCTCCACTCTGGGATGAAATTATGACTCATCCTGGAGGAATTTCTGGGTCTGTGAGATCTCCTATTAAAAACAAAGCTCAAGAGGACCTACTTAAATATTTTTAACAACTTAGGTAAGAAATACTCTTTTATTATTATAATTTACAGTTCCATCATAAAGTTAATGAAACACATAAACACACAAAGAAATACTTAGACACAGACATACTCACACAGCAAAAGACCAAGTTGTATCCTTTATTTGTATCATTGATATTAAACCTTATTAGAAGAGGAGGCAGTTGTCTATAACTAAGATATTAAGAGTACTACAGAAGTAATTATACTTTGTTTATTCCACTGAATTCTCAGAATTCAATGTTCCGTACATCAAGTCTCACTCTAAGTCTCTCAGACTTTCCTGAGAGGTGTGTCTCGGGACTATTCACCTTGGACATTGGAGAAGTGGATGGGAGACGATTACAGGGAATGACTCAATGTGCCGCAGTGGATTCCAACTTATGCTTATGAGCCCCCGGAGTTAAACACCGCTTGGGGCACACTCCTACAGTACAGGTGTTTACAGATTATATACCGGCACTACTCCCAGCTCACCACGTATTAGCAAAGTTTCATGTCTTTTGTTTGTAGACAAACTAACAATAAGTTCTAATATTTTTTTTCCCCTGCAATGCACGGAATCATCCCGTAACCCAGGATGAAGGTGACTGCTTTAGAGTATTTAAAAAAGAGGGAGACAAGGGGCAAAGGTTTTTTGTCCTTATTCTACGCCCTCTGTTTCTTCTCCTTGAAACTCAGAGACTCTGAACTGCTGTCTCTTTGAGAGTACCGTTCTCTCCTAGTCTGTTAATGTGCCTTCACTGGCATCACTAATAAAAATGTCTCCCTACATCATCATTTTGTAAGAACGCTTCCCAGTGTTGCTCTCAGGGTCGAGAATCCTGCTCTGTGACATGTCAGGTTAGCAGAAAAGAGAGCCCAGAGGATCAGGTGGTTCCCAGGAGTGGCAAACCATAATCTGCCCTGTCGGCGGACAGGACGCTGGAGAGCAGTCAGAGGTGGGTCTGGGGGCTGATGGACCCCTCAAGAGGCATGGCAAGTGATCGCAAGAATTTGCCAGGAAATAAAATCCCTTCTCTTGCCAAGCAAGTGGCTAGTTACTTATCCCTTCCTACAGAAATAAAATGGCAGACGGGGATTGTTACCAATTTCACAGGCCGAGAAATGACAGAAAGCCCCACATTAAATGACGTCATCTTGCAGTGGGAACACTGTTTTCATTTGCCACCCTGACGATGGAAGATCATCACGGCGCTTTGTCATCTCTGGTTTCTAAGCTGACAAGTACTCCCACCCGCCCTGTTACGTGTTAAACCACATTTTGGGTCACACTAGAAAACGGAATAGAACCACCAGGCCAGGCTCAAACACGTCTGCCAAGAGAGAGGAGCTGTAATGTTCGCACAGACCAAGTGACGGGAAGGGGTAGGAGCGCTGGGAGGCTGAGACTTGACCCAAGGAATGTGTGGTCTGGTGGTTTCGTCTGATTTTTTTTTTTTTTTACACTTACATCGCTGAGCCTTTCCCGAGAGCTGCTCCGGTGGAAGCCTTTGGATTCTCCGCTGTCACTGTCACTGTCTCTGCAGCTGTTCTGGCCTGGCTTGAGCTGCAGGCAAAAGAGAAGAGGAAAGAGACAAAAGTCAGAGGTCTCCTCACACAACCGGCCTCTGCCCGTGTTCTTTAAGTCTTGTCAAAAGTGAACAACTGAAGGTCCTGCGTTTTAACATTCTTCTCAGCTTCTGAGTCGCGCGGGCAAGCTGCCGCAGGAAGAAACACGGAGAAGGATAAGCAAAACATTTACCATAAAATGTCACTGTAAATAACAGTGAGCAAGCCGGAAAAAAAAAAAAAAAAAACACTTGACAAAAATTTAACAAAGGTCCATGAATCTCGGAAAGTAATCTTCCCTCAGATTTTTTCCTCTGTTCTACTGGGAGCTCTTTTTTGTCCATAAAAAGACCAAAAACACTGAATTAGCTAAAGTCAGATTACACTAACTAGGGTGGCCCACCTTTTTCCCTCCGTCCCCTAAAGAAAGAATAGAACAAAAGCAATGTTTTCTTCTAGGAGAAAACGATGAGACACTGCGTGTTATCCTTTCACCACTGGGAAGATCCTGATCCTAATTTCTGAGACAACATTCTGGAGGTCTCTCAGCAGATCTTTAAGAGTACCCAGATTCAGACCTACAGCTTAAGCAATTAAGCCACGACTCCTTCAACAGACACGTATTAAGTGCTACATTTGTACCTGGTCCTAAGAGCTGGAAAGGTGACACTAAACCAAAAAAAAAAAAAAAAAAAAAAAAAAAGTCTCTGATCTTACGAAGCTTACATTTCAGCAGTTCCTGCACATTTACCCAGCTCTGATTTTCATGTTCAGAAAATTTTCCACATTTACCCATCTTTGATTTTTATGTTCAGAAAATTCTACACATTTACCCAGCTCTGATTTTCCATTAAAATGAATAAACATGCAGAATCTCAAACCAGCAGTCTGGAGAAGACTGTAAGACACACACATATGGGCCATTAGCCGGCCATGTCATCATCAAGAACCACCTTTGCAGGGACCCCAAGAAATCTGACGCAGGTTACAATGCACGGCCATTCTATAACGTCCTTAATCTAGCAACAGAAAGACTGTGAGACAGGCAAATACAACAGACAAGGAAATACATGTAAAGGGACACCAAAAAGTAGCCAGTGACATTTGGAAGAAAAGTAATCTCTGAAGCCTTGGGTTTCAAAAGCAGATTGAGCTCATGTGGCTGAGAGGGGAGGGGAAGATACTCTTGATGGGAGAGAGGCAGAAAGCAAAGGCAGGAAAGCAACATGCTAGGAAATGATCAGAAGGAGTCTTATCTGAAACAGAGATTTCCTTCTGGGAGGAAATAGGAAAAAACATTACTAAGGGGTCCATGGATCAGACATGGAAAGTCTCAAATAAAACATGAGCCCCGTGCTTCTGGGCAGGAGGGAATTTCAGAGAGAAGAACGGGTAATAGGTAGCAAAATTTTTGCCTGCAGGTTTTCATGTGGCTCCAGGGCCAAAGGGGAATGTGAACCAAGACGAACGGAGAATGAAATCTGAACCCACACACCCTGCCTCACGTGCCTCTTCTAAAATCTGCCGTTCAGATCCCACTTTGGGTCACACCATCTAATAAGCTGTCCCCAAAACCCACCATACAGAGCGCTCCTTTTTGCTTTCAGCCTTCCTACAAATCTACTTTTATCACTTTCTTCTAAAAATTTCTTTCTCCAGAAGTCTTCTCTAATGGAACCCAGAAAAATGATACTCATTTTAGCTTGTATCCTCCTGGGCCCTTAAGGGCTTAGTTTCCTTCTAAATTACTGCGAAATCTGCTAATTCTAAGTTAATTCAGACACAAGCTATATGAGCCTTTTCTTATTACTATGGAATAAAAGTTCAGAATATTGTCATTCTCTTCAAGTTTTCATTTTTATACTTACAATAAAGGGGAATTTAATGGAAAATGAACATCACTTTCTCCCAGTCTCCTGAACATGTCATGTCCATTTCTGTCCTACATCTGTCTGTTCACGCTAGGTTTCCTCACCCCATAGGGCACACCCTCAGCTTCTCTGTGGTTTCCAGGTCAAGACTGTTTTGAAGCTCAGATACGATCACCATGCTGTTTGAAGAGCTCTTTGTCTGTCTTCCTTTTCTGATGTGCCTTCCAAGTTTAGGTGATACACCATTCTTCATTAAAGGCCTTGGATAATGACGATCCTGAAAAGGCGTACTGTTAAATGAACTGGACGGATGATAACATCTATACTGTGGGGTGGTTACTCTTATTTATAGGCCATGTCATAATTTTTATCTTCCTAGATCGGAGCTGAGTAAATGCATGTAGAGCTACCTCTGTTGTGTGAATGATGAAACAGAGCAAACGAGGTGCTCAGAAATGGGCACAAGGTCTAGGACTCAGTCCATGTCTGTACGACTCACTGCCGTTCTCACTCTACTTCCTAGAATGCATTCAGATGTCAGCATTTCACATGAAAATAACGAGTCTGCAGCGTATCTGTATTCTCAATGGAATATATTTTAGATATACTTGCAGTAACTGACTTCATCCACAAAGAAAGAAATCCTGTAAGGTGATACTTGATCTAGAGATGTTTATAAAAACTCAGTCCCTCCACCCAGATGGGAAACAAACATGTGGCAGAGAATTAACCATTTAAGAGCAGAAAGACCTGCTGGTATCCTGGTACCCATCCACCTGGCTTCCCCAAATCTGGACTTGCATTTGGGTCTCTTCCATGTTTCTTCATGGAAGGGAAGTGATGACTTCCACAGGCTTGACAGGAAACTTCAGTGGCTCTGATGTCTATCATCTGGCCAAATGCTGATCGAGGCTAAGGGCAAAACCCAAGGAGGGCTGAGACGGAGCCACTTCCTGGCCTGCCCCGAGCTCTGCCAGCAAAAGCACTTCAGTGAATTCTCTTCAGAGAGACTTCCATCAAAACCCAGCCCCACACTACCCTTTTCTCCTCCAAAGCCAGGCTCAAGTTTAAAGGAAACTTAGGATTTTAAGCTGTCAGACAGCTCAATATTTCAAAGAAATGGATTGACTACAGTAAGTACTAAAGCTAAACCACAAGATTTCAGGCGAAGAAGTATTCATTCCTAATCCCATGAATACATTTAAAACTGGCATTTTTAGCCATATCCAATGGATCATTTGGGGTAGCACAGCTAACTTAGAAGTTGTAATCCTTCACCTGAAATTCCCAGCTTTTACCTACAACCAGAGACATTACAAAGGCCAGGTGCTGGCTTAAACACTTAAAGACCTAAGGAAAATCGATCTGCCCTCATTGATTCATCCCAGCATCCGTGGTGGCTGTTGTAGGTCAGCTTTTGCTACAACGGATGCTATGAGAGCTCCTCTTTTCATCTTCTAGATACTTTAAAATACCTTGCTTATTTAAAAATTACCGTAATTCACTCCTATTTCCATCTGTGTCTTCCCATCAGAATATTATACAATTTAGGCTCCGGATTAGAACAAAACAGATGAAGTAAAAGGAAGCTGGCAACTGGCGTGAGTGGTAGGAATCCTACCAGTAAGATAACAATTTCTATAAAACGTAAGAGGCTGGGTTGTTTTCTATTAGATTCCACGGTCGACAGTATATACGGAAACTCTGAGGCTGTGATCTTGTTAGAGTTAACGGTTATTCATGGCTGATCAGGAAAATAACGACCCATGGTTTCATCGCTGCTGACGAACATATAACGAAAACCCGTCACCCCAGGCTCAGTGAAGGTATAGCCGTTCCATACAGCCCTGCCAAGATTTGCGAGGCAGGCGATGCCACACTTTTCAGCTTCAGTATGGAGGGTTCAAGATGCTAGCTGCTCAGGAGCTTGTCATTAATTCTTCAAACAAAATTCACAGAAGGATAAAGTATGTGGAGAAGACACCTACGCCCGAAACTCAAGAGGAATGATGTGAATTATGCACTGCAATGCAGAAGAGCATCCAAAAGTAATCTCCTACCACCGTTTTTGGTTCCTCGAAGCAGCATAAATCCTATCTCGGACTGCTGAGCTTTCCTGCAGGGATCTCAATGAACTCCACACAGTGTTTTATAAACGCTATCAATAAGCACAGACTTTTCTTTGTTTCCAAGAAATTTTGTTTAACATTCCTAACATCAAAACAGCAAGAATTTAATCTTGTAAAAATGTTGGTTTTCTTTTTCAAAATCAAACTTTCCCTGTGGGTTGGACTCTTCCCCATATATTGGGTGGCATGTGTACTATTTTCATTTTTTTTTATTCAAAAAAAGTTGACACACGATGTTTTATTAGTTTCAGGTATACAGCACAGAGATTCAACATCTCTAAATGTTATTCTATGCTCCCCACGAGTGCAGGTACCATCTATCACCATACGACACTATTAGAAGGCCACTGGCTATATTCCCTTTGCGGGACCTTTTGTTTCCATGACTTACTCGCTCTACAACTGGAAGCCTGTATCTTCCACTCCCCTTCCCTCCTTTTGCCCATCCTCTCATCCCACTTTCCTCTGCCAAACATCGGTTTGTTCTCTGTATTTTTTTTTAAAGATTTTATTTATTTATTTGACAGACGGAGATCACAAGAAGGCAGAGAGGCAGGCAGAGAGAGAGAGGAGGACGCAGGCTCCCCGCTGAGCAGAGAGCCCAATGCAGGCCTTGATCCCAGGACCCCGGGATCATGTCCTGAGCCGAAGGCAGAGGCTCAACCCACTGAGCCACTCAGGTGCCCCAAGTCCTATTTTTTAAAAAACAAGGACATCTAATATCTGTTAGGTAAAATAAATAAATATCCAATTATTTGTTAGTGAGAAGTCCTAAGTTTAAAATAAGTGAAGGGGGGGGGAAGACAAAGGATTAGAAATAAATGGTTAGGTGAGGTCACAGGTCAAAGACAGTCATTTTAGAGTTGCAAGAGGTGCCTTCTTTACCTTTCACTCTTCTGCACTTTATACTAAAGGAGAAAGTTACCAACTTCCGTGTGCCCATGTATAAAGTAAAGAAGTAACTTAAGTAACCAAGGAAACGGAGATGGGTGTCTTTC